CACGTTTTTCAGTGTTACACCAACTATATGAAGCTGAACTTGGTTAACTGGATTTGACAGCAAACCTGCACAAGGGAATCTACATAGTGTATAACTCTCTGTACCATTAGAAATGTATGCATTTTAAATTCATTTATTTTTTTTTTGCTTCAGAATCATAAAAGCAAAGCCTTCAAACCAAGCCACTTTGAGTCACCTACATCAAATACAAGTTATACAATTGTACATGCACTATATGGACAAAAGTATTGGGACACACCTCTTAATCATTGAATTCAGTTGTTTTCATTCAGACTCATTGCCACAGGTGTAGAAAATCAAGCATCTAGCCCTTTACAAGGTTTACAATCATTTGTGGAAAGAATGGGTCGTTCTAAAGAGCTCAGTGAATTCAAGCGAGGTACTGTTATAGGATGCCACCTTTGCAAGAAGTCAGTTCGTGAAATTTCTTCCCTGCTAGATATTCCACGGTCAACTGTAAGTTATATTATTGCAAAGTGGAAACGATTAGGAACAACAGAAACTCAGCCACGAAGTGGCAGACCACGTAAAGTAACAGCTCGGGGTCGCCGAGTGCTGAGCCGCATAGTGAGTAAAAGTCGCCAACGCTCTGTTGACTCGATAACTGCAGAGTTCCAAACCTCCTCTGGCATTAATCTCAGCACCAAAACTGTGCGCCGGGAGCTTCATGGAATGGGCTTCCATGGCCAAGCAGCAGCATGCAAACCTCACATCACCAAACACCATGCCTAGCATCCGGGGCTGCTACGATTAGGCATTGTAGTCGGGTTTCAGCGTCGACGTTAATATTTTAAATCAATGCACATTTTTTTTTTGGATTATTCTAATGAAGTTACCTTTTTGGTTTCCAAAACATTTCATTATAACCAATGCGTTCTTTCGATATCACTACATAATTATGGGTGTACTTCAAATTATCACAAAACAAAAAGGTGATTTGTACCATTGTTGCACGAGATGCTGGTACTGAAAAGGTACTGCATTCTTGAAAGCTGTTCAGTATTGGTATATTTACTACTGGTACTAATTACACTATTACAGACATTACTGTTGCTGTATATCACTCACGCTAACCATCAGATCAGAACCATGGTCTCAATACACCCAAACCACGGCCGAAACTGTTATACCCTATGTCAGAATTGCATGTATCGTGCTATATAGCATATAGTTCAAGCAAACTAGCAAATTGGATTTATCCGCTCTGAATGCTCTGCATAAACAGCGTGACACTATCGAAATGTGAGCTAGTTAAATATGATCTCCCTTTATATAAGGGATCTAATGGCAAGATCTTAAAAAAATTCCAACAGGCCACAGTAACCTCATCAGACCAGAATCTACAGGTTATTATGCTTTGCTGTATTTTAAGCAATTAAATAATCAAGCATTATGTGCCTGCTTGGGATTTTTTTTTATGTTAACTGAGCAGATGAAAGGAAGAAAGCAGAAGAAACTTGTGTAAGCTTTATGGGTGTTTATCTTTTATCCGTTCACTTTTGTTTTACAATACAGAATAATGGTGACGCATTCAGTCGTGGCAGAAATACGGTTTGCAGTTTTGTATGCTGGTGTGTGTATTTTATTATTTTTTTTTTTATTTTATTCATCAGTGCCAGAGGTGGAAAGTTCAGGTTCAGAAGTTACAAATCCAGACCAAGAATTTGTTTCAACCAACCAGTTGAGAATAAACAGAGTGCTCAAATGGTTGGTTGAAACAAAATCTTGGTCTGGATTTATAACTTCTGGACCTGAACTTTACACTTCTGATCAGCGCCCTCTCAAAATCAATATAATAAGTTACATCCATACTGATCTCCCTCCCCCCCCGTAGCCCCCAATACTCTCCTTACACACAGTGCTCCACCCCCTTGTGTGCATTTTTAAATAACAGCAAGGCAGAGGTGCACATTAATTGGAAATGCATATACCCTATATGAATTTTATAGAACGTATGGATGATGTCCTTGTTGCACTGTCACTGCACACCACCCCATTGTGTGTGTGGAGTCTGCATGTACCACATAGGTGTGTGTGGCTTATCCGTAGATACTCCGCTGTCTTTCCACTGTACAGAAACATGCAGTGTAAGTGAGTGCCTACATTGACCATATGTGTGAGTGAGTGTGCACCCTGCAATGGTTCCTTGGTTCCTGCCTTGCACCAGTTGTAATGTTAATATTGTGTTGTATTATATACACACACACAGATATACACAATTACTCGATTAATCATCAGATTAGTCATTAGATCATTGATATAATCGCTAGTGACAGTCCTTAAAGCATCAGATGGAACGGTGTAGAGGTTGCCGTCACTGGACTCTGGAGCAGTGAAAATGTTCCGTGGAGTGACAAATCACGCTTCTCTGTGCTGAAAGGCTGACAAATCTGGGTTTGCCTGATGCCAGGAGAACCTTACCTGCCTGACTGCATTATGCCAACTGTAAAGTTTGGTGGAGGAGGGATAATGGTATGGGGTTGTTTTTCAGGGGTTGTGCTAGACCCCTTAGTTCTAGGGAAGGGAACTCTTAATGCTTCAGCATACCAAGACATTTTGGACAATTCTATGCTTCCAACCTTGTGAGAATGGTCTGGGGAAGGCCCTTTTCTGTTCCAGCATGACTGTATCCCAGTACACAAAGCAAAGTCCATAAAGACATGGTTGGGTGAGTTTGGTGTGGAAGAATTTGACAGGGCTGTGTGCAGACCAGACCTCAACCCTATCGAACACCTTTGGGATGAACTAGAATGGAGATTGTGAGCCAGGTCTTCACATTCAACATCAGTGCCTGACCCCACAAATGCTCTTCTGGATGAATGGGCAAAAATCCCCACAGACACACTCCAAAATCTTGTGGAAAGCCTCCCCAGAAGAGTGGCAGCTGTTATAGCTGCAAAGGGGGGACCAGCTCCATACTGATGCCTATGGATTTAGAATGTGATGTCATAGAAGTTCCTCTGGGTGTAATAGCCAGGTGTCCCAGTACTTTTGTCCATATAGTGTATTATACATGGTGTGTGTATATATATATATTATAGACAATTGTATTTCTTAGCTTTAATACCCTGTACATGCCATTTGAAATGAGAACTGCTTGCCCGACAATAAATGGAAATTCATCTTACTTCAATCCCAATAAAAGGTGAGTTAAAACATAGTTTTACCAGTAATACTGTGGTCATCCTAAGCGGTTTATAATGGGGATACTTCTTACTTCCTTCTGTTGCTTGAAATCCTGATGGTTCTGAATGGTCTCGGCAAGGTGGTGACGTGAAATCATGCATGAATTTTGTACATTTGTCCCTCTTCCTGCTGCTTATCCTGATCAGGGTGGGAGGGGAATGTCAGATAGCACCGGGCACAAGGCTGGGCTGTATGCTAGATTTGCTGCCACACTATCACTGGGTGCACAGTCTTACATAATATGCCCATAAATTGTTTGGTCCCTGATGGCGATAATAGTGCTGCATTCTTTTTTTTAACTTCGTATTTATATATCTAATAACTTATGAGATGTTATATAGGTGTGCTGACTACAAGCGTATAATCATTTTCATATTTTAATTTCAGGCAAAACACACAAGAATGACAGCATGATGATCAAAATGGATGGAAGAGTTCTGCAAGCAGAGTAAGTCTAAGGAATCCACTGGCAAAGTCCTGCACCAGCGTAGCTGCAGCAAAATGATGATTGAACAGCAAAGTAATTCATGCAACACAGTGCCGGCTCTTCACACTTGCAGGAGAGAACCCTTCATGTGCAGGTTTACTGACGAATCCTGTACACAGTGCCTTGTTTTGTAAAGTATTTGAGCTGCCTTTCAATACCCAGCGCATGTCTGCACTGTGTTGCATGAATTATTTTGCTGTTCAATCATCATTTTGCTGCAGCTACGCTGGTGCAAGTCTTTGCAAGTGTGTTTCTTAGAGTAAGAAAAAAGTAAAATGGAAACTGTCGCTAATCTGTTGTTTGTAAACATGTCAGCTAATTTTTCTCCTTGCATAGGGTCAGATGTGAAATTGGGTGGGACTTGGCATGTGCTGTCGCTCCACTCGTTTTAACCTAATATTTAATTACTTAAACTAGACTAAACTAATAATTGACAGCTCATCTTACTTCTCAGCTAATTTGGGTTTCGAGGCCTTACTTCTCCCTTCACTGACGAGGCTTCTGTTTACAGACAGAGACTCAAAGGAGCTTCCTGAGCTGGTGAAGAAATACAACGGGTTTGAAATCAATCTAAAGGAACCAAAAGGCTATGCAGTCAGAATCACAGACCTGGATGGAACCGTCTACTGGGGAAGAGATGAGATGCTGGAGAGCTGGAGTCACCTGTACCTTCCTGAGTCAACGGAGATGGTCGTCATTGGTGCCATCGATAACTTCCCGTCCTTGGCAGAAGGGCTGCAGCTCATCGTGCTGGTAGACAGCCTGGGCAAAGTCTACTTCTATGAGAACGAGGTCCTGCATCTTAGGGGCAGTTTATGCTCCACGTTACGAGGCGTGCCATTAGGCGTGCTGTTGCTACACAAGTAGTGTTGCTGCTCATACTTGTATGTGTAGTTTATGTCAATTTGTTATGTCCAGCAGAGGGCAGTGTGAGAACCATAAGAACATAAGAAATTTACAAACGAGAGGAGGCCATTCGGCCCATCAAGCTCGTTTGGGAAGAACTTATCTAATAGCTCAGAGTTGATAAAATCTTATCTAGATCTGATTTAAAGGAAACCATCTTGGTTGGCTGCTTTGTTTCTGGTCTTTACTTGTTTGTATGAAGTTTGGCATGAAATGTTTTACATTCACTGCCTCCACAGCAAGT